TGTGTTTTGTCAAGGCAGAGCAACAAAATACTTCCCTCTGCAGCCAAGCCTTGTCTAAGGCCACATTTAGAAGTTTAATGATATACATTTCTGCCAGATGTCCTTCCCCTAAATTATCTGAGCTTTTTTTGTTTTTGTTTTGTTTAATTTTGTCTTTTGGTCTTTTTGAGACAGGGTCTTCCTGTAGCCCCAGCTGTCCTGGAACTCACTATGTAGACCAGGCTGGCCTTGAACTCACAGAGATCTGCCTGCCTCTGCCTCCCGAGTGCTGGGATTAAAGGCATGCACCACCACGAAATTATCTGAGTTTTATAGACTATTTGTCACTACACTTTCTGACAGAAGTCTTGTAGTAAAACTTGTTTGTTAGAAAAACGTTTCAGTTTTACCATCTATTAAATCCTGAGTAGATCAGGAACAAGTTTGTTTAATTCAGTCAATTTCTTTCTGCTCCAGAACTGGACAGATATTTGAGTATGTGAATAAATGTAAGCCAGGAATGTGATAGCTTGGGTCCTCACAGCAACGGAATCCCTGAATTTGCCCCTTCATTCTCAGGAAAGCACAGCACCAACATCAGTGACAGTTTCCTCAACTTGGCTCTGCATCAAGCATTTTCCACATATTTATGATAGATTTGGGTGGATCTACAGATATCCATGTCTATAGTGCAGCTTGACTTAAGTGACTGCTCAAATATTTTATGATTACAAATATCTTTATTAGTCTTTATTGCAGTCACAATTATTTACTGGCCTTTCAGAAGCACATATAATTTAAGACAAAAACAATAGCTATTTCCCATCATCAGCCAGGTCTAAAGCCCTTATCCTGCCATTATTATGTTCTTTAAAATTGAGAAAACCAACATCTCGGTGGAAAGTCACTGCAAGCACAGTCACTTGACCCTCCTGTTTAATAAATGACAAGATAGATTTCCTTTAAACCTGAGTGTAAAGACCTAATGTCTGTGTGCCATCCATCTTCCTTTCTGGTTACTGCCCACCATGGCTCCTCTCAACTGCCTCATTCACCTCTGAGACTTTATTCACCTCCCATCACCTCCCAAAAATGTGTGTTCATACACGTACATGTGTTTGCATGTGTGTGTTTTTCTATATTTGTCTCAATATAGTCTCTACTTGGTTACATTAAGGAGGAAATTTCTATTTTCTTTCTGTTTTTTCCTTTTTCTCTTACCTGCCCCCACCCCCCAAATAAGTAGATAAGTACAATACAGGATTGATGACACAATATAAGTTTTTGTTTGTTTGTTTTGTGAACATGAGAACTTTCTAGGTTTCCCAGGCTTGGTCCAAGTGGTCCTCCTGCTACAGCCTCCACCTGAGTGCTGGCACTACAGACACATGTGCAATCATGCCTGGCCTGATACCAATTAAACTTTTTTTATTTTTAAATTTTATTTTACTTTTTATGTGTATGAGTATTATGCCTGCCTGCATGTAAGTGCACTCATGTCGTGCAATGCCCAAAGAGGTCAGAAAAGGACATCAGATCCCCTGGAACTAGAGTTATGAACGGTTGTTAGCCATCATGTGGGTGCTGGGATTAAACCCAGGTCTTCTGCAAGAGCAGCCGGTGCTCTTAACTGCTGAGTCATCTCTCCAGCCCCTAAAAATGTTTTCAAAATAATGTATGTTCCAGACATGGTGGTACATGCCTTTAATCCCAGCATTTGGGAGGCAGAGGCAGGCAGATCTCCATGAGTTTGAGGCCAGTCAGGGCTACATAGTGAGACTCTGTCTCAAAATAAATAAAATAATGTATGTATGTCTGACATGAAAGTAGAACTGAAACTGTCTAGGGAACAGAGGACCAAAGGGAGAGAAGAGGGTGTATTAGGCATATTAGGATCCTGTAGAGGAGCAGAACTGACAGAATGAATTTAATATGTTCAAATTGACAACACGATTAAGCAGCACAAGTCCACCTCTTGTCAACTTGACACCCAATCACATCTCCTTATGTCAAGTTTAATTTTTAAATGGAAACAGTAAAAGCTCATAATTCTGTCTAACATGATATTATAGCTGTTCCATGTACTACCACAATCACAGGCTGCCCTAGAGCTCTGGCCAGGATTATTACAATAACTTTCTAATTTACTTCCTTGTCTCTACCAGTCAGTTCTTGCTATAGCAGAAATAGGGATCTTTCTGTAATACAAATCCAAAAACTCTGATCAAAAATCTTTCTACTGCCTACGTGATCTGATATCACTCTCACAACTTTATTGAACTTCTTTCCTTCTTTCTTTTAATTCAAAGAAGAAAATTTTATTAGAGTTTAAGAGACAAACCCTACCATTTAAAACTCCAGTAATGGGAATTCAGTGCCCTCTTCTGACCTCCACGAGCATTGCATATCACGGATGCACTTACAAACATGCAGGCAATACACTCATATACATAAAAAATAAATAAAATATTAAAAATAAATATATAGCTGGGTGTGTCACACCTTTATCCCAGTACTTGAGAGGCAGAGGTAGGCTGATCTCTATGAGTTCAAGGCCAGCCTGGTCTACATAGTGAGTTCCAGGACAGCTGGGGCTACAGGGAGACCCTGCCTCAAAAAGACCAAGAATAAAATAAAATAATGAAATAAAAATAAATAAATAAAGACAAACCCCAGAGTGAGTAAGCTGTAAATTTCAGTAGCTTCCTGGAGGAGGAAAATAGAGACTAGAAGGACAAAAGCCAGGTGAGACACATGGTAGCAGGCAGCCACATGGTGGGGAGAGGGACTCTAGAGAAAAAAGAAAAGATGCTCAAAGTGCCAGAAAAAGCACATTTAAATTCTGGCCAACATCCCAAAGAAACACACAGAGGGGAAAAAA